TGCAGCATTCAAGCTGGGGAAGGGACAGCACAAAAGATTACCCTCAGTCAGGTCATCCAAAAACCCCAACTACTAATGCACAAGTTGATACCATTCACCGTATGGTTTTGGATGACAGACGTCTTACTGTCCAAGAGATGGCTAAGTCTATAGTCATTAGTTCTGGTTTGGTCCGTACTGTTTTAAACTGAGATCTTGGGGATGCGCAAGCTATCTGCAAGATGGGTCCCGAGAATGTTGACACAAGAGCAGAAGCTGAAAAGGGTTGACATTTCTAGGATGTTTTGACTCATTTCCTGGCTGGCCCTGACAATTCTCACTGCAAATTAGTAACTCAAAATGAAACCTGGATTCACCACTTCAAACCTGAATGAAAGATTTAAAGCAAACAGTGGAAACACTTTGGTTCACCACTGCTGAAAAAGTTCTATTGGTGAGGTGATGGCTTCTGTTTTTGGCATTCTGTAGGTGTAGTCATGATAGACTACATGGAAAAGGGAAAAAACTATTAATGGACCATACTATACATGAGAATTAAAAGAACTAAAGGAAACAATCAAATTGAAAAGCAGAGGGAAGCTGAGGTCAGGTGTGCTCTTGCTCCAGGATAACATGCCTGTTCATACTACTCAGGTTACATTAGCTGAAGCAGTCAACTGTGGCTTTGAGTTGCAACCCCATCCCCCTTACTCCCTCAGCTCCATCTAACTTTTTCCTGCTTCCTAAACTCAAATCCCACCCACATGCATGCCATTTTGCAAACAATGATGAGATAATATGTGCTATAGAGGAGATTTTGGAGGACCAACACACCACCTTCTTCCATGATGGGATTGCAATGCTTAAGCATCTTTGGGCCAAGTACATTGATATCATGGGGCTATATTGAAAAATAGTGAAAAACTGTCTTGGTTTCCAACCCCTTCTGGGTGAGTCTTAGAACTTTTTGAATGGCCCTCATAACTATAAGAAACAGAAAGAAATCAACATCGGTCAGAGAACAAAACACAATAACCACAGAAGTGTTTAAATGATAAAAATTGCTCCTATAGGTTAAATAATGGAAATGTCCTAAAGATTATCCAGATTGAAAATTGCCTGAAGAAGAACAGAGGAGACAAAGGCCAAAACATTGTGATAATAACAACAAAGATGAGGAGATTAGTTTGACTATATGTCAAAAAGAGAAGTTAACAGATGAAGCAAAAGGTTGCTCAATTGAACCCCATATTGGAATAGAAAAAGATTAGAATGAAGTTGGAGAGATGAAGCAAAGTTTTGCTAGAAAGACATGGCATAGGACTCATAATCATCATAGGATTCATGAATGGCTTTGTGAATATATATATATATATATATATATATATATATATATATATATATACTGACATGCATACAAGGTGCAATGGGTAAATTGTTGTCATTTTATATTCTTAATTTCGTGTAAGTGCATTGTTTGTTTTTACTTTATTGACTATGCTGTATAGTAGGGTCAGTTGGGTACCATCTGTGAGAAAAAGAGAACAGTAATTCAAATCACTCCACCAGAAATTTGAAAATGGCATGCTGTACTGCTTGTGCCAGAAGCTCCAATACAAACATTTCAGAGTTTTTGGAGGGTGCAATCTGAGAACAGTCCAGAGTATTTGGAAAGAGTTCAATGAGTCTAATAGTGATTATGAAGTTGGCTCTAGTGATCACTAATGGCAAACATGCTTCTATTTATCTTCTCACAGGACCTGAGTCAACATAGAGGCCTACATCATGTGCTTTGAGTGGGTATTGCTGGCCTGGGTCAAGAGGGTGGCTGCTTGAAGACATTATGTCAGGTAACAGGACTCTGCACCATTCCACACAAGCAAGAGAACCCAGCCATGGCTGTCAGATAATTTGTGCAACCATATCACACTGTACATCTGGGCACAATTCCCCAGACTGCAACCCCCTTCATTATTATGTGTGGAGCACAGTTGAGCAAGAGACCAACAAAAGTCTTTGTGACAGCAAAGATGAACTGAAGACAAGGATTATGGTAGCATTTACCAAATTAAACAAGGAGACCATCCAGAAGAGTTGCAGAAGATTCTGAAGTCTTCTGGAGGCCGTGGTTGAAGCCAATAGTGATTTTATTGAATAGATTTACTCTTTAGTCTTTCAAGATATTTTTCTGTCATTTTGTTAAATAAATCTGTTAAAATGAGATATCAAAACACTGCAAAATTAAAAATATATAATGGCGATAATTTAATTACTGCATCCTGTATATTACTTTTGACATTAGGGCATGTGCATTTATTATTTTTGTATCTTCTATTATCTGATAACTGGTTAGTATATATTATCAAGTATAGGAGATGCAATATATATATATATATATATATATATGAATGCCTGTTTCATTAAATAATATAGACACATTTTGTCTATTTATTTTAAGTAAGTTCCTTTCATATTGTCTGATAAGCTTAATAACATTATCATTGAAAGACGAGAGGAAATCACCATACTGATACATGTTTAAATCCAATCTAAGCTTTCGGATTACATAAGCCATTATCAAAGATGACAATTACTTTTCAATATGTCAACCAATACACAGACGAAACAATAATGATAGTCTGTTTTTGTTGTATGAAAAATTTCAAAGCAACGACTAACTCGTTTATACGAGACGCAGAAGTGAAAATCATGACGTCACACATGACCACGCAAGAGTGAAAATGAGAATTATTAAATATGGGAAGCCGTTGGTATAAACCAATAGACAAAAATAAATAGACAAATAGATAAATAGATAATAGATAAACAGATAAATAGACAAAACTTGTCTATATTATTTAATGAAACATGCATTAATGAAAAATTGCTGCCTAAATATACACAATATATATATATATATATATATATATCAATTAATAAATAAATCAAATTATTAGATATTTAAAGAAGAAATAAATTTTTAAAAAAAACAGAATACAACTAAAAGACTTTAGAAAACTCCAGAATATTCCTGAAACTCAACCTAAAAATAAATTCTTGCTGATACAGATATAACATTGCATCTTTTGACACACAGAACACATATTCCAATGTGACCCATCATAATTCTTGCGGCCTTATTAGGGCCGGAAATAAAGACACAAAGAGAGGAATTAAGTTAAACAAATATATTAACAGAAACAGTAATACAAACATATACAAACGAGAGTGTTACAACAAGAATGTTCACCCTCCAAAAGGCAGTACCTGCTCCTATTTATAGCTGGGAGAATCCATGCATTCATGGGTAAATTACCATAACAATACTCAGAATCAGTAGTGTTCCCTACAGACTGGTAAAACCCATAACAAAAATATTAACACCCCCTCCTTGGAACAGCCCTTCTCATATTAAAAATTCAGGCAAACTGGTTAAAAAATATACGGGAAATAAATATGACTGATAAACTCATGGATAGTTTAGTGGACAAATCCCTTTATACCTACCTTCCTGTTTGCAAATGTTTAATTTTAAGAAAAAAAACATTTACTGCAATCAAAAATAAATCTCTCTCTTCCAACAGTTAAAATTATAAATATTTTTTTACCCATCACAAACCAGTTGCAGTGGAGGACATAGGTTCAAATCGTGCTGGAGGGCATATTTTCTTTAATAAGATTTCTGATAGAAAATACCGTTTAAAATAAACAGAGAGTCTACTGAAATATGGATATCCACTAAATATAATGTTTAAAGTAATAGCTAGCTAGCTAGCTAGATAGATAGATAGATAAGAATAGAGATAGATACAAACAGACTTAATAGTTAAAGAGATTGGTAGATAGATATGAACTGATTAGATAGATAGATAGATAGATAGATAGATATTAAAAGACTGAAATAGATAGATAGATAGATAGATAGATAGATAGATAGATACAAAGAGAATGAAATAAATGGGTAGATGAAAGGAATGACGTAGATAAGCAGACCGAGATAGATAGATAGATAGATAGATAAGCAGACCAAGATAGATAGATAGATAGGCAGGCCTTGCCAATCATCAAGGACCATGGATTTGTTCCCACCCATCTATAAGGTAAGATCAAGCCTGGGCAGGACAGTATAGAAGACAAGATGTTACTTCCCTTTTAACAATGATTTTTATAAACAAAAATGTCAATTACTGATCACTTAATCTGTTTGTTCTTACAGATTCTTGAATCTGATCATTTCAAAAGCATTTTGACTAAACAACACGCATATTTCTGTTTTGGTTTTGTAACAATATGCAGTTTGGGTCTAAACTACCTCTAGCACATCCCATTCTATGTTCAATGAAGCTGTAAATTAATATAATAATTGAGTGATAGTTTTCTTACATGAAGCCTTGAAAACTATTCAGTCATTTTAACATACTAATTACCAGGTTCAGTAGCTATTTGATAACTGACAGAATTAAATTGGTGTATCTCTTGGTCATATCAGAACATATAATCATCAAAGTGATCATCTAAAATTCCCTATGGTGCTAGGATCATTAATTTAAGGTATGTTTATGAGATTTATGATACTTTCTTCAGAAATAGCATTCTGTTTTTCTTCAGTGATTAATGGAACTTGGCTTTCCAAATTCCAATTCTGAGCTGTTATCAATTACACCACTTGCACATCCAAGCTTACAACACCTGGTATTTAAAAGACCTTAATATCCAAGTGCTCCTAGGCTGATGAGAGCTTAATTGTATATTGATTTGTTTTTTATGGATTATCAACCCTTTGCAGGTTATTTAAAACCAGAAAATATTTTTAGACTGTAAGAATCTTTTGAAGATGATAATGATTTTTACTGATACAAGTCCTACTAATTAACCCATAGCTGTGGAGAAAGAGGTGTATTCTTACCTTTTCACAAGGGCATTTGCATGTAAGTGATTATAATGAACCTGACAGGACTGGAACTCGGCTCTCCAAATTTCAGTTCTGAGCTGTTATCCATTACACAACAAGCACATCCAAGCTTACAGCACCTGGTATTCACAAATGGTCACTCGTCTAAGTACTGACCAGGCTCGACATTGCTTAACTTCGATGATCATACGAGAACTAGTGTTTCAACATCATATGGCTACAAGGCCTTTATACATTCCAAGATTACAACAACTGGCATTTCAAGGGTTACCCATCAGGTACTAACCAGACTCAAGTTGTTTCAATGATCATACGAGAACTGGTGTTTCAACATGATAGGCCTTTAAAAGGCCTTTATACTACTCACAAATCGAAGCAACACCTGGCATTTCCAAAGGCTTACCCATCTAGGCACTGACCAGACTCAGTGTTGCTTAACTTCAGTGATCATACGAGAATCAGTGTTTCAACATCATATGGCTACAAGGCCTTTATACTACTCACACATCCAAGATTACAACAACTGGCATTTCCAAGGGGTTACCCATCTAGGTACTAACCAGACTCAATGTTGCTTAACTTCAGTGATCATACGAGAACTGGTGTTTCAATATCATATTGCTGTAAGGCCTTTATACTACTCACACATCAAAGCTTACAACACCTGGCATTTCCAAAGGCTTACCCATCTAGGCACTGACCAGACTCAGTGTTGCTTAACTTCAGTGATCATACGAGAATCAGTGTTTCAACATCATATGGCTACAAGGCCTTTATACTACTCACACATCCAAGATTACAACAACTGGCATTTCAAGGGTTACCCATTAGGTACTAACCAGACTCAATGTTGCTTAACTTCAGTGATCATACGAGAACTGGTGATATATTGCTGTAAGGCCTTTATACTACTCACAAAAAGCTTACAACACCTGGACCCATCTAGGCACTGACCAGACTCAGTGTTGCTTAACTTCAGTGATCGAGAATCAGTGTTTCAACATCATATTACAAGGCCTTTATACTACTCACACATCCAAGATTACAACAACTGGCATTTCCAAGGGGTTACCCATCTAGGTACTAACCAGACTCAATGTTGCTTAACTTCAGTGATCATACGAGAACTGGTGTTTCAATATCATATTGCTGTAAGGCCTTTATTCTCGCACATCAAAGCTACAACACCTGGCATTTCAAAGGCTTACCCATCTAGGCACTGACCAGACTCCCTTAACTTCAGTGATCATACGAGAATCAGTGTTTCAGCATCATATGGCTATAAGGCCTTTATACTACTCGCACATCAAAGCTTACAACACCTGGCATTTCCAAACGGTCACTAATCTAGATAATGGCTAAAAATTGGAATTTGGAGAGCCACATTCCAATCAGTTTCATTATATTCATTTACACACAAATACTTTTACAAAGGTATGAATCCGCCTCTTCTTTTCCCCCCAGCTATGGGTTAATTATTAGCACTTATCAGTAAATCATTATTATTGCCAAAAAATTCTTACAATCTAAAAATATTTTCTATAACCTGAAAAATGTTGGGAAGTCATAAAACACAAATCAAAAAAAAAAAAAGGAATATGTCTAAAATATGTTTCATTCATGAAACAATGGGTAATATGTTTAAAATGTTGAAGAATTTCTGCAGCAAAAATCTGAAGGAACCAGGCAATTTTTCAAAGACTCACACAACCTATTGTTTCATTCCCTCTCAGGTCAGTCTAGAGATTCCTCCAACTTTAAAAATCCTCATCTTATTTTAAGTTTTGCTATTATTAAATGACAAATACCTTTGCTTATCTAAATGACCCACAATGCCTGTTATGCAGATATTTATCTCTTAACCACAGCCATTCTTATTTCAAAGTATTGATTTCAATCTGGTCAGTTGAATTTCTCCCTGTTTCTGGTACAGTGTAACCCAATACAACCTGCCTGATGTGACCAAGAGAAAAGATGAGCATTGACAATTCCACCCCTACACTCTCTTAACTCACAAGTATGGCCATGGCATTAATAATGATAATTAAAGGACCAGCAAACTTACTGTTGTATGAGGAACTGCTTATTGGGCAGTGGTTAGCACATTAATCTTTCAAGTTTTTATTATTCAAATTAATGTGCAAAAAACATAGATTTGTTCAAATATTGTATTTTATTTTTTGATGCTATATACTTTTATGTTTATAGCCATGATTGTTCTTGAGATAGATAGTGGTGTGGTTTCTCATTGCCTTCTCTACAGTGTTTTTATTGAGACACCAATTCTAGTTAGCTGGCTTTATCAAGGTTTCTTCCACCTAGTGATAGGTTGTTGATATTAACAACTCAATATGTAAATGAAGATGATAGAAGAAGCATACAAAATTCTTTTGCTATGAACATGTATTCCTTTTATGTTGGCTGTATAGAAATAAAGTTAAAAGATTCCTTGAGTATGTTTTCCTTTTGGTTCTGAAGTTATTTATGGGAAGTAAGGATACAAACAGGTAAACATGGTCGAGCTCAAGTCAGCCTCCTGCTGAGTTGGGAACACCAAGTATGTCTGTTTTTCTTTTTGGTTCTGAAATAATTTTTGGGAAGAAAGGATACAAACCAGTAAAGCTGGTCAAGTTTAAGTTAGCTTCACACTTCATGAGTAGCACTGCTAAAACATGTCCAAAAATATCATTGGTAAACGAGAAAATTTCAGTCATCAGTGGACCAAGGAAAATTAACATTCCCCAGTGGGAACACCATTACCGTATGGTTCATATTTTGAAGCCAAGAGGAGAAAGAGAAAGATCCTGTCCTTTCCAGAAGTGAGGTCATAATATTAAACATGTGACCAGAAACCTTTTCCAATTTCCTTATAACTTGTATCATGGGAATTTTTTTTTTTAATTCATTATTATTATTTTATTGGTTTTGTTTCATTTTCAACACAAGGTCTTCAAATTTGTTCTACAGGATTGCTAACTACACTCCTTGTACCAAACAAAGTGGATCTGGGAAGGAGATTCAATCACCAACTATCTGAAAAAGTTTTTCCTTCAAAAGAAAAAGATCTCATACTTTGACTCAAGTGAATAGTGAATTGTAAAATTGAATAAAATAAACAATTCACTAGTTTGTTCTTTTTAATCAAAAAATTAAACAAAATAAAAAGACTTTTTGTAATATCAGTTCTTATATGTGGCAATAAACACTGGACAATATCCTCAAAGATGAAGAGACTTGAAGAAACAAAAATGTGGTTCTACAGAAGGATGCTGAGGATACCATGGACCGAATATGTGAGCAACAACAAAGTTTTAGAGAAAATGGAATCAAAAAGGAAATGTATACTGAGCATCAGAAAGAGAACTTTCTAGGGCCACATGATGAGGAAAGAGGGCTTGGAAAATCTGATACTCACATGACAGACTAAAAGCAAAAGGGACAGAGGAAAACAATGCATAACATATTTAGTGAGCTCGAATAAATGGATGGTGGAACAGGGTTTAGGAGAAAGAACAAAAAGACAAAATCTATTAAGATCTACAAAGGACAAGAAATTGTGGAGAGCCATGATCACCCATGACCTGAAGGGACACAGTATATAAAGAAGATACTAAGAAAGAGATAGTTGAAATTTCTTGAAGACATAATGAGGAAAACGGGCTTGGAGAGTTTGACACTCAAAGTACATATAGAAGGAAAAAGGGCCAACCTACCTAATGAGCTTATATGATGGAGCTAGGGTCGAGAAGATTGGCAAAGGGACAAATGTTGCTAAGAGCTACAAGTGATAGTAAGTTAGTGAGAGCCATGTTTTTCCATGTGCTGAAGTAACACAATATTGAAGAAGGTCCTTTTAAAAACATAGTAGATCACGGCTCTTCACAGCTTCCTTATTTTTAATATGCATGTATTTTCATTACTTTTTTCATTATAATAAAATGATTTCCCTTGCCTTCTCCAGAGTTTTGAATTCAGTGTTATCATTCTATTCAACTGGCTGCAACCCAAGGTAAAACAACTCTATCCATCCTTCTATTTAACCCATAGTTGGAGGGAGAGGAGATGGACATCTTTTCGAAACAGGCAAAATTTGAACTCAGCTCAATAGTTTCCCTTTCAGAACCACCCAACATTGTACTATGTACACATCTGTAAATATTGCATTAGTGTTAATAATTCCACAGTTCGGGTATCAGTTGATCAATATAAGCATCAACCATTTCTTTTATTTGTTGACTATTGATTAGCATTGTTATTGATCCATCTACATCCATGTTTATAGATGATTCTGTTTTTATCTTTCATTATCTATTTCCAGCTTTATGCCTATTGCTATCTCTTAATCTATCCAGATCAGTGATTATCCACTTAACTCTATGCACTAGTGACTCTCATTTTAACAACCTAACAACTTCTATTAAGCACAATTTATGTCTAGCTAACAACAGCCTCTTCAAATCCCCCCCCATCTCTCTCAAAATATCCTGTCAGTTTCTCAAGCTCTCATTCTTTCTTTGTATGCATGTATGGCATATGTCTGTGTGTGCATATCTGTCTATGCATATATAGATATATACAGGGTGTGATGGACAATTTGTTATCTAAATTACACAAAAATCAAAACACTGACATCTCATTTTAACAGATATATTTACCAAAATTACACAAAAATATCTTGAAATACTAAAGAGCAAATTTATTCAATAAAATCGCTATTGGTTTCAACCATAGCCTCCAGATGACTTCTGAATCTCCTGCAACTCTTCTGGATGGTGTTCTTGCTTAAGTTGGTGAATGCTGGCATAATCCTTGCCTTCAGTTCATCTTTTTTTTTATTGGTCTCTCGCTCAACTGTACCCCACAAATAATAATCAAGGGGGTTGTAGTCTGGTAGGGTGGCCAGATGTAAGGGGTGATGTCCTAGAAATTGTCTGACAGATATGACTGGGTTATCCAGCTTATGTGGCATGTTGCAGAGTCCTGTTGCCAGACATAGGATCTTCCAGCAGCCACCCTCTTGACACATATACAGGGTACAATGGATAAATTATCATCTAAATTACACAAAAATGAAAATAACACTAACATCTCATTTTAACAGATATATTTACCAAAATTACACAAAAATATCTAAAGAGTAAGTACTAAAGAGTAAATTTATTCAATAAAATCACTATTGGCTTCAACCACGGCCTCCGTATGACGTTGGTATCTTCTGCAACTCTTCTGGATGGTCTCCTCGTATAAGTTGGTGAATGCTGCCATAATCCTTGCCTTCAGTTTATCTTTGGTGTTACAAGGAGTTTTGATGATCTCTTGCTCAACTGTACCCCACACATAATAATCAAGAGGGTTGCAGTCTGGGGAGTTAGATGGCCAGATGTAAGGTGTGATGTGGTTGCTGAAATTGTCTGACAACCATAACTGGATTCTCCTGCTTGCGTGACATGGTACAGAGTCTTGTTGCAAAACATAATGTCTTCTCACAGACACCCTCTTGCCCCATGGCAGCACTACTGCCTCAAAGCACTTGATGTAGGTCACTGTGTTGACTCTGACGCCCACACCAATGAATTTGAGAGTTCTTTTCTCATCATAAGTGTGTTTTCCAAGATGTCATACCTTCATAATCACCATTAGACTCATCCAACTCTTTCCAAATCCTTTTGCACTCTCCTCAGATTGACACCCAAACATTCTGAAATGGAGCTTCCAGTGTGAATGCCAAGCAGTACAGCATGCCATCTCCAAAATTTACAGCAGAGT